TCCTCTTTTTCCTCCTACTTATGTGTCAAGTTTATCGGAAAAGTCATAACACGATAATTCTTTTGAACTCGATAGTTATAAAATTTTAATATAAAGACGATTATAGTGGCGCCGGACGATTGATACACAATGGAAAAGAATTTAGTCCTCTGCAAGATGTATAATAATTACATGTGAATATACATATATACAGAGTGTATTTAAGAGAAGCAAGATAAGATGTTTGCTACTAGTTGATTTCTGAAATCTTGAATTCTTTTTCTCCTTCTTTTTATATATATAGCACACAGTTTGTGAAGATAAACGAATTTATGTTTCGTATTATATTATCAAATAGAACAAATTCGAATATAGTGAAGAGGAGGAAGAAATGGAGAAGAGACTTTATTTTTAGGATAAATAACGGTTCTTGTTTTTCTCACGTGGGTGTCTTATCAGCTATTTCTAATTTGAATAATTCATAAAGACGATAGTGAGTTAACTGATAGTGCGGTTGTCGTCGTCGTCAAAAGGCACATTGTGCGCGCAAAATAGAAGCCAATGCCCTGTTAATCATGATTGTTCATTTCTTATCATATATATAATATGCATAAATAATATGCATCATCATCTTTGCAACAGGAATTTTATTTCTTTTCTCGATAATCATTTTTTTATCCACCGCTCGAGAGTGTATTTTATTTTGTTGTTTGTATGTTTACATCTTCTACATCTGTTATTGAGGATTTCACGATTAACTCAAGATAAAGATTTTAATTCTTTTCGATAAAAAAATTAAACATTTCAATTCTTTTACAAACAATTCAATTCTTTTCGGTAAAAAATTTAATTCCGCAAGGACGCCACAAGTATTAATTTAGTTGTTTCTATTTATAGTTGAACTATTCGAATAATTTTTGGTATTACGTTTTCAGTTGTCTTGTACAATTTCCGTTCAAAAAGTCTCGTTCGCAATTAGTTTCAAGTATGACCATTTAGTTGCGTTTCATTCAAACATAAGAATTCACCTTGACATAAATGTTCGACAATCATTTACACAAGTCCTTAACTGCCTTCTGTTTTTTCCACTGAAAAACGATTCGTAAAAGGAAATTACGACATGGATTCATGCATTTTGTGGATCATTTTATTCATAAACAATGAATAGAGGAAGAAACTATTTTTGCTATTATGTAAAAATTGTTTTGCTATTAAAAAAAATGTGTATGTGATTGTGATTAAAATTCTCTACTAGTGTGCGAGTGGATTTTCTCTAAAAAAAATTTCATTCAAGAAAAAGATTTTCTCTAAAAGAAATAATATCTCTAAATGAAGAGATTTTCTCTAAAGTAAGACATTTTCTCGATTCCAAAAAGAGATAAAAGGGAAAGATGGTTTTAAAAGATAATGCAAAAGAATGTCGCCTACATATTTATGCTTTGGATTGTGTGACTTTTTCGACTCTTATTATTTTCTTCCAAATATTTCAACAAAATATTACAGAAAACTTATATTTGAAGTTATTATTGGTATAAAGGAAAAAGTTAAAAATTAGAGCAAAATAGGAGAAAAAAATTACAACTCTGATTAAAATAAACGATGTTTTCGACTTTCTTTGTACTTGTATAAAATACTATTTTTTGCACTTTAAATCGATTCGAGACGTGCACATTAGATTTAGAGAAATCGATAAGTTGGAAAAAGAGAACTTCCTGGTGTTGTTGGGACGATGTGCGCGAGACAATATTTGTCGTCATTCGGATAGAAACGAATCTTTAGTCGCAAAACATATACATATACATGTGCCTGTACAATATACATTTTCCCGGGGCGTGAATGGTTAAAAGGCTCCACTTTTTTTTTCTTCTTCTTCTTTTCGTTTTGCAAACGAGAACCGTAAAGTGGCCCGAAGCTATTTTATAGTTTGCACGGCTCAGGATCGTATATGCACTCCTGAGCTTGTGAACAGGCATTGTAGTTTATCTTGCGGTAAACAAGCCGTGCACCAGGAAAGGCCGTGTTACGTAAGGTTAATTGCGGTCGTTCAGGTTGCCGTGGCTTCTGCGGGTGCAGTATCAAGTGAGATTCTTATCAGTGGACCTTGATCTCGCACTGATAGTTCGCCGATATTTTCCACACGAATTCTTTCACATCATTTGTTGCCCCCCCCCCTTATCCCTCTGTACATGTGCGCTCTCACACCTCTTCATGCTTACGATCGTTCATGTTCAAAATTTTTATTCCTATTTGTATGTTTGGATTTGGAGAAAAAGGATGAAGCTTAAGTTGGATATGTTTGTTTGTTGTACAAAGAAATTAATTGATTATTGTAGTCTAATAGTTTGAGCATACTGCTCAAACTATTAGACCACAACAATCAATTAATTTCTTTGTTTTGTTAAATGATGATTGAGGAAATAAGTATTGAATTAGAACTAAACAGCTTTTTTGTTGCTGCTAATGCAGTAGAATTGATTGTTGGAGATAGAGTAGTATTAGTCAAAGCAGTACTGTTTGAGCCAGTACTTGTTAAAGCAGAGCAAATTAGAGCAGTACGAGTTAAAGCTGTACTAATTAGGGCATTTACAACAGTACTTGTTAGAACAGTAAAAGTTAGAGCAGTACTAATTAAAGCAGGACGAGTTAGAGCATCACTACTTAAAATTAGATCAGTAACTATTTACAGAACTAGATCCATATATGATACCATTTTACAATTCCAAAAATTATCCTAAATTCTAAATAATATTCTATGTGCTATCATCTACTTCTGATTGTTACACTGGTGGGATTTCTGGTCTGCATCAAATCCGCAACGAATTTAGACAAATCTGTGCGAAGCTGCAACCTAATAGCAGAATTGGTGATAAATTTTAGAATTGACTCATAAACAGATTTATAAATTAGACTTTTCGAAGACAACTCCATCTCTAAAAATAGGTCTGGACCAAGTCCGTGAAGCAAGCCTGGACAAACCGGTTCGGTAATACCATTAGATATACTGAAATTAGTCATAAATTTTAGAATTTACGTGGAATTATTCTAATCAGACTTGCTGATAATAACATAGTAAATCTAAATTTCGGTATGGAACGGATATAATGCAAATGTGGGTAAAGCTTTTCCTTTGTGCTGTATTGCTATATACTTGATACCTAAATTATCAAAGAGAATTTTTACAAATCTACCGGAAAATTTTATTTTCATAATCATCATTGTTTGCAATAGAAATTATTTTCGTATGCGAGAGCAATTTCTAAAAGTTACAAAATTATTAGGTCAGAAAAACAGTACGAAGCAAAAGTGCGAGCAAAATTACAAGCAAAATTGCAAGCGAAATTGTCGACGCTTTACAGAATTTAATATAACGATCAAGTCTTACATCTGTTATAAATTGGAGTGATGACATTTTTTCCAAACACTCTTGAATGATGTCACTATTTTCGTATGAAGAGAATTATTATTATAAAGCAGATCTAGTCTCTTTTCTATAGAGTTTAGATAATTTGGCACACACAAGTACGTGCCATCGCAGACAGCAAGTCTTTTGTCCGATCATAGTTGTGAAAATGTGACGTCGTCACTTTACTAATCCAGACGATAATCCACTCGCCGTTAGCTGCCCACAAGGCTATTTTGTCTGCCGTTGGTATTTCGCAGATGGTAAGGCTAATCTCTTCGAATATATATATATATATATATATACATTTATTTCATATATATATAGTACATATATTCTCATATAATTAGCTCTCGTGACTAACGCATGTGTACCGCTCTCTATAAATATAACGCAGTTGGGATCATAACGTTTGCAGGTGGCTGTTTTTACTTACTTTTAAAAAGTATATTCCTCGAAAGAAAGAAGTACACTTTTTTTCTTTTCTTAGTTCCATGTAATGAAAAGAAAAAGAATGCATGTACTCTTTTTCTTTCTTTTCGCAAAGGAAAAAAAGGGAGACTGTGCTGGTAATTATACCGTAAACCCAACTGCAATGACACGGTGTTCTGTTTTAACTTCTTAACGGCATTTCACTTTATTCCAGTGCATTTTGAGGAAGATTTATCATTGTGACACGTCGGCGAGGAAAGATCAAAGGTTTTAAAAATGTACGCAATAAATACACTCGTGTTGTGTTAATTGACTTATTGTCGTCATTATTAGCTTTATAGTATCAATAGATTCTTTTCATATTTTTATTATAAGTAGCAAAACTATTCTGTTGATTTAGAAAAAATTAATTTCGATTCGATTGCTCTGCTTTAGTTAGCGACATTGGGTCATTGATGCTTAAATATTTAAGTAAAATTGAGAATTTTTACAAAAACTGGAAACAAATATTTAGGCATATTTGAGATTTGGTATGAATCAGAAACTAATATTTAGAAATAACTGAGAATTGCCACAAACCTGAAACAGATATTTAAGGATTACTGATGCAGTTTCAGCATGCAGATAATTTTTGACAACAGAATTTAAAGTTTCACTTCCATAATTACAACACATTTTAGCCCTAATTTTTAAATTTTGATTGATTTTTCACTGCAGCTTTAGGACTTGGGAGTAATACTAAAACAAATTTTGAAGTTTGTTGAAGAATTGAATCTAGTTTTAGAACTTTATTTGAAATACAATTTGACGACCTTCAGGATTACTTTTAGTTTCAAGAACAGTTAACAGGAAATTAATAAATCCGATTTAAGTTACGCAACCAAATATATCCAGTTCTAGAAATCTTCCGTATAATACGTATAAAAGTAATTCAAACCATAAAATAAAAAATAATCTTTAAAAATTGCTTCTTAAGTAATAGCAGAACAAAAAAATTATTTCTCACGTAATTATGTTTTCTGTTCAAAATTTGCCCCCCCCCCCAAAAAAAAACTAATAAAGAAAAATAGCAATTCCGTTAATTTGTACCAAAATTAATCCATGTTTCGATTAAGTATTTTCTTTTTCTCTTTTTGCAATTTAAAGAGAATGAGCACTAATGAAAGATATTCTTCTTCCTTTGTTACAGACGTCAGTGGAAATGTGTTCAATGAGGTAATTCGCAAAGATGGAGACAGTGCGTGAGAATGGAGCGGCAAATCGTTGGGTGAATGGATCAACGGGAAGTGAAGTGTCAATTTCGCCCTCGAATTGTGTGAATCATTTGAAAATCGTGGAATGTGATGTTGATAGTGAAAAGAAAATTCCTCGAGAATTTATCAAGGAAGAGATGGATCCTTACAAGGAATTGGAATTATACCTCGCAAAAGTAAACGTAAGTTGCATATAATAAATTTAAAAAAGCATAATTTTTCTCTGCCCTATCTGTAGGCTTGTTAAAAAATTTCGAGTTTGCCGCACAACTTCTTGTAAGCATTTAGAAAATTTTAAAGCTTTGGATGACTCGTCTTAGGATACAAAACAAAAACAAATTTTTAAGGATGATTGGGAATTAGTACAACCCCGAAAAAAGTATTTAAGAATTGTCGAGAATTGTTGAGGTATGGGACAAACTCAAACCTGACTGAGTACAAAACTGAAATAAATATTTAGAGAATGATTAAGAATTGAGATGGTATACAATATCCAGATAATTTTTTCTATCTGAATTTAGGGTTAGTTTTACTTTCATGACTGGATACAAAGTGACATTAACCTAATTATTGGTTTTACTGTTGGGCATAATTTTTCCTAAATAAATAAAATAGAATATAGCAGTAGTGTAGATAATCAATGATATAATGTAGTTTAATGTAGTGTACAATGTCTCAGAAAGTACATAGAAGATGATTAATTATTACAAACGGTTGATTAAGTCAAGACATCATTAATCTTCTTCTATCATGGTATAAACCAAAGTAACAGGTGAAGCTTAACACTTATTTTGCAATCGAATATTTTTATATTCCTCGATAAGAAAAAAATGATGAGGGAAAATGCACATCCAGGAGCTAGAGGGCACATCTCATTACTGCTTTTGAGAATGGTATACGAAACGTTATTGCTGGACAAGCTGTGGGTTATAGATGATTCATAGTTTCTTTCCAAAGGGTCATGGATGAGGCTCTATCGGGTCGAGGTTTCGTATCACGTGCAGATCGTTTGACGTTTGCCATAACGGTTCTCTTTCTCTAAACCTGACCGCTTATTTTTTCCCTCTTCTTCTCTCTTTCTTCTATACCATCATCTTATTTACTCTCGTCCTAGGAAGTGTTATATTCTCTTAAGCCACCCTCTCCTCGTCCTTTTAAAATCGTCAATTTCAACACGTAAACTATCCAATGTTACTTATCAAAACATCATCTCTGTTAACGATGCTTAATGAAGATAGAATATACCTTCATCATAAACAAAGATACCGCAAATTTATCTTCGCGCGGGAAAAACATCTTCATTAAGATGTTTACGATTAAATGAATATAAAACTTGAGTATTCACACGATTATCACATACAGAGGAGAAAAATAGGGAGACTGTAATTCATTTAAAAATTTCAATTTAAAAACTTATAAATGTTTTTTGAAAAAAAACTTGACCGATGTGAATAAAATTGATCATTTTGTAGAGATTGTGAGAGTAAAAATAAAATTTGATCGATCATCGATCTTTCTTGAGGAAGGGGAGGGGGAAATAAAACTAAATATGTAGATAACAAATTCAAGTTGACACCTCTCGAGAGACTTGTGTACGAGTTTCTGAAACATGTTTTGCAATTCCTCTTTATTTCCCATCACTTCCTCGTGGTTACGCTACTTTTTTTCCCCTTGATATTTCGAATCAGGTCTTTTTCCAGGTGCGTGGGCGCATCACTCTGTTTTAGCAAATCTCCCCCTCTCTCTATTTTTTTTTTTTGATAATTCCAATCATAAAACCGGTTTCTTTTTTTGAAATATTAATAAACGGTTTTTTCTTGTTTTTTTCCGACTTTTTTTTCATGATCAACTTATTTACATACGGATCTATACCTAGAAAAAATATACTTGACTCAAAACATACGATATTATTTGTTTTAACTAAATTTTATTTGGTTCAAATAATTCAGTTTCAGATATAAAACATTTTTCAAGATGTACAACTTTTTTCCTTTTTGGGAAAATTTGAAAAAATTTTTGACTCTATAAAAGTTGGAAACAAGTTGTATTTATGCAGGGCACGTGTTTGTATTCATGCGTCATGCTTGTGCAACGTCACCAAGAACCATTCTCTCAACTCTATAGTGGTACACCTTTATGTATCTGTGTTTCTGTATCATGAGTCGCTACCACTTTACCAGTCATAGATAGTCGTCTCCTCTCTGCTCGAGGACTGTTCCGCGAAGTTGAATTGAGTAAACTTGGTACTCTAACACAAGGTACATAAAGTTAGAAAATACTCTTTGGTCAAAGGTACACATTACCTATATACATGCTCACATGTTACCCAACACGTTCGCGGTTTTGCTACTTTTCCCATTTTATTTCTGTAAATTCGATTAGCGTCATTTAATTCATTGGTCATTTCAAATTATTATTATTTATGAAAATATTTATTTATAAAAAACGAAAAAAAGACTAAATAGAGATCTTTTAGTGGAAATTAATTACAGAAACGGGTTTAACGAAACTAGAAATTATATTATTGTGATTAACATTATTTTGTAATAATTACAGTACAATAATTATATGGTAATTAATTTATTAAAATTATCTTAATTGTAAATATAGTAGTAATTAGTAATTATAACTATATTTATCAATAGCTACTATTTTTATGATTTTAATTACTGTTAATTCTATAATAATTGTAATATTTGTAATTACTGTTTAATTGCATTTAATTAATGTAATTACTATACTATCAAAATTATAATTAGTGCTATTATTATGGTTAAGAAAAAATTCTTTGTTTAATTCAATTATTTTCCAAATTTTTAATTAAAATTATTTAAAAAAAACATTATTTTAAAAAAATTTAAAGAAACTCGTCAAAAGAATTTAATTATTCATAAAAACTCTAATAAAAATTAGAAATCAAATAAATTTATTAATAATAAAATAAAATTTTTATAATTATTTTTCATATTATTTTCATAATAATAATGATAATAATAATAATTGATGATAATAATAATAATTTAATAATTATTAAATGAAAAAGAGTAATAGAAGAAAGAGTTAGAATAATAAATGTCAATGAATATCTAGAAACTAGATAGAAAATTAGAAACTCGGCGTAGTTAATAAAAAATGAACTTCGAAACAATGACGATTTTTCACACTAATCTCTAATGACGAATTATTACGTATAGACATTGAAAATAGTTATAAATTGAGGAAAAATAACTCATGAGTCAAGTTCTCATAAAGATTTTTGTTCTTTAATAAACGAGAAATCACTTTATATAATCTACTCCTTACACATACACATTTCATATATAAAGTGGGTGGGCCAAGATATCAGAATAAAACTGCCATCCTGTAATATTTTTTTGAAACCATTTTATCTTTTTTTTAAGATAAGCCCTTAATTTTTATATCGTGTTTTAAAATTCAGAGGACAGAAAAAGAAATGGTTCTTTAAATTGACAACATTTTTTTTTTTTTTTGATACTTTGTTGACGAGTGTAATGGAAGATAAAGTTTCATTTATTACATTCTCATTTTTTTGAATTTAAAGTATTTCCATTTTGAGAAAATAATGTACTCTCTAAATTTGAATCAGTTAAAAAAAACTGATTTAGAAGCAAAAAGTCAGTCACTGATTGTCAGTTAAAACCATGATTTTTAACTGATTCAAATTATGAGAGTACATTGTTTTTCTTTTTATTATAATGTATTACAGATTATTTTTAAAATTAAGAATATACTTTAGATTATAAAAAATAATAATTTACATTGTAAATTATTTTTATTTGATGATATTTATTGTAAGTTCAAAATATTTGAAACACTTGAGAGTTTCATTAATTGGAGAAGTATAAAAGAAACCATCTAAAAAATCTCCTTTTTCTTTGAATTAAGAGAATTTTGTTGTAGATATAAAAAAAAAAGTTCTTTTTTGCTTGATACGTTGTTAAAAGGCAACGAGGAAAGGATGCGATAATAAAAACTTGTTTTACGCCATGAGTGGCTTGTTTACATCATCAACTAAAGTATCATTTTGCGCATTTTTAAAAATTGTGTATAAATACGTATTATAGGTAAAATAAAGAAGTGATCAAAGCGAAGCGAAAATTCGTCGAAATTGGTAAATAAAATTTAGATGATTTATATTATATAATATAATATATACTATATATTCGAAATATATTTATATATCTTTGCTATGGGATATCCCAGAATGCGGGATGGGCATCGGAGACAGGGGAATATTTATACTTTATGGGAGTTGAGGAGAGAATTATGAAGATGCGCGGGGACCTATGGAGTGTGATAATCCTTTTTATAAAAACCGATATATCAGCGGATCAGTACTTTCGTTTATAGTGTGTAAGATATGAGGTGTTTGGTTCAAATGTTCCATTCTCGGCTCGTCCTTTTTAGATTATTATTATTTTCTATGATGAAAGAGCCAACGTTTGGCTGAGAATTTTTCCTTTTTTTTTTGGTGAGATTTTATCATCAACACCACAAGAGAACTTTATTTCATTTCGGATATAAATTTATCGAGAATATATCTGTTTTTATTATTCCTTCTGAAATTTAGGTCTTCTATGGGAAGTTGTATTTTTAAAAAAAAACTGCTATCCAGTTATTCTATTTTTTAAATTCCGCTTCGCGTTTTCTACTTCTTGTATTAACAGTTTTGATTTGATATCCTTAGAGAAATTATTGTGTTATTATTTTTCACTTCTTACTTTTTTTAATGAGAATTATTTTTACAACAGTTAAATGAAACAAATAATGAAATTCTTTGCTGAAATTCAATTATTTTTAGTAACTAATATTTTAATAAAATTTTACAAAAGAATTGAATAATTGAAAAAAAAAATTATAGGTAATAAAATTCTTCGACAAAATTCAATTATTTTTCTAAATAATAAAATTTTCACTGAAATTCAATTCTTATTTGAAATATAATATTCATAAATTTTTTTTGAAAAAATTAATTAATTAAAAAAATGTTTATAAAATTCTTCGAAAATTTCTTTATTTTAAAGTATAAAATTCTAGCATTGGACTAATGTTTTCAACAAAAATTTCAACAAAAAAGGACAAATTTAAATTTCTTTACTTTAAAGTAAATGGACTAATTTTTGTTTCGACTGTTCATCTAAATCTTCTTTAAAAAAAAAAA